AGTTCGGTTCTTCCAGTCGCGAATTCGACCTACCACAAGATATGGTCTCAGCTCCGCATCAGTTTTATTTCACAGCTATTCGACAGCAATCTTCTGCGTCCTCAAGTGTGCTCGCGGAGGAAAATGAACTTTGCGATGATGAGCACTCCTCAGGTTTTCACGTAAACCGAACGCCAACCCCTCCCTCACCTCCCGTTGAAGCTGCATTGAATTCCCCTAAACTCTCTGCCATACATTCTCGACTCTCCCTTCCGCAACGATTACCACTTCAGACGCTGGCTCGAACCCTGGTTGATGAGTCTGCCGACCCTTCTCCGCAGTTCAACAATAAATCCCTTTCAATTCTAGGTAGTGATCTCTTAACATACTACACTGCTGAACATCTGATAAGCACCTATCCGCGGCTTCCAGTTAAGGTCCTTTGGGCAGCGATGTATTCCTATATTGGAGCGAAGCCGTTGGCTGCGATGACTAGGGAATGGGGTCTGGAATATGCTGCTGAGCCCGGACCAGAAGTAGACCCAGGTCTCCTACAATTTAAACGGCTACCTCCAGACACTGGATTCGAAACCAAGTCAAATGGCACATTCCTTAGACGTGATGAAAATATGGCAAAACGCAGTACAAGTGCAAGGATAATATATGGTGGCGCCTTTGGTGAATCAACACTTCCCTATCCCGTCCACCATGAGGGTGTCACTCCCAACCGAGCTTGTGCAAATTTCATACGTGCCGTCGTGGGCGCTGTATATCTACACGCTGGTCGACCAGCAGCGAAACAATTTTTTAAAGAACACTTCATGAGCCGCCATCTCGACATGGCCTCGTTGTTTAGCTTCCGGCAACCGACGCGAGATCTCAGCAAACTCTGCCGTCGTGAAGGCTTTGAAGACCCCGTCGCAAAAATTCTGAGCGAAACTGGTCGCCATAGCAATCGTCCTGTGTTTAACGTAGGTATTTTCTCCGGGCCAGACAAGCTGGGCGAAGGGGCCGGTGGAAGCTTAAGCGAAGCGCGCTTTAGGGCTGCGGCTGCTGCGCTTAAGGGCTGGTATCTATACAGCCCGCTTGGGGTTAGGGTTCCGAGCTCGATGGAAGAAGAAGGTGCTGAGCCATGGAAACCTGTATATGTTGATCCCGGCGAAGTTATAGTATGAGCGAAAAGTCGGGGCCCCTTCAAATACATAGCAAAATATACCAAAATTATACGGTCAATTTTTTTTTCTATCTGTTTGCTGCTTTTGGTAAGGAAACATGAAGGCGGGATCACATAACTCATCGGCATTTTTGCTCACGTTTCTTCTTCTCCTGTTAGCCTTTTGATCGATCCCCATGGCATCTTTATTGTCCTGCCTCATATTCATGTTGGGCTGCATTCCCCTTTCTATAAGTGTTGTTCTATCGTATCTACTCTATCTCTTTCTTTTCCTCTTGTATTTAATGCACATGTACAATATTGGGAAATGAGCTTTTGTCTATCTGTTGTTGAAACGTTCCATTACTGTCTTTCTAACCTTTTCATTACCACTGCTGTCAAAAAGGAACCACAGCTCCTCCACTCTCTTTTATATTCAAAACTGTCATCTGCAATAGAAACGGCGTCGGCTTGTGAGAAAGCTGGAGATGGAATGGTTAAATTCCACGATTCTTCTGCTCCTTCTACAGACACCCTGTCACCCATCGCCTTTTGGATGAGGCTTGGCATTTGCTTCTCCTATTCAGATGAGATCTTTTCCCAGGTGAATTATATCATTTACACCTTTCTCATTGAAATTGACTTGGCACATCTACATGTTCAACTACGTGCATGTAGAAATAAAAATAAACATATTAATTCCAAATTATTGCAAAAAATAAAACAATGTATGGAAACCCCGAAAATATCGCTTGCTATCTCGCAGACTTCCTTCCTGAAACATGGCCGTAAGAGTATTTCAAATATTCAATTCGTCTTGGACGAATCCAAATATGCCCCATATTCATCCCAGAGATCCAATACCTCAGCACCAAATAGCCCATACCAGAATCCACGTTTAACCAACTGTTCGTCGGTCACTACTCCCGCTCCCTTTCGATCTGCTTTCTCAACGGCCCCACCGTTCCCATCGCCCCCAGCAATACCGTTCCCACCCGACTCACCAACATACCCAACCCTCAAAAGGCGATCATTCAACATGCCCACCGCCCCTACTCCAACCTTGACATCCTCAATCCACTCCAAGAAAAATGCTGTAGCCTGGTATCCCTTATCCCAGCTGCTCCCGCGCTCAGCTTTGCTCCTGGGCCGCTTCCAGTGAGGCGGCGCAAGTCCAGCTTTCAAACGGACAAAATCTGCAACGCCTTCAATCAAGCCCGAAGGGGGGTTCGGGATAGCTGATTCCGGTTCAGCCTTGTTTCGGCTTCATCTCTCCATTCTTGTGCAGTGTCGCCGCGTTAGAGTGAGGGCGAGTGTGCTGGTAGCAATGCACTAGTTCATGAGTTGATCACTCCCCGCAGCTCGCGAGCTGGATCTGCGGATGTGGTACTAACGGTAAGCGATATAGGGAGAGGGAAAACGTGAATCTCCTTATCGAGG